GCAGAATATACTTCTCATTCCAAGCTTGGTCTTCTCTCTCTAGATAGCAGGCTGGGACGCGTCAATAGATAGCTTACCGGTCGTTGGTCACTGAATCTCGTTCTCGTTCGCAACTACGTGAACCAGTGATAGCTCTCTCTCTCTCTCTCAAAACCTAACAATAACTATGCCACCAATCAGAGAGCAGTTAATTATCGATCGAATCAATGACGCGTAAAACCCGTACGAGCAGTCTAGAGTCCTGATTGGTCTTACTTTTCGCCTAGCCCAGCCAGTTAAGTCCAGAACACCAATTCGAGCCCCTGCGATATGAATCATGTATTTCAAACATACTCGGTTTATATACCAAACAAACAGACCAAAACGAACCATAAAATAGAGAGCAACATTTGTACAAGATTTGGCCAAAAGTGTCTGTGAATGTGGGAGGCAGTGATTAATGGACAGGGTCTTCTCTCTCTAGATAGAAGGCTGGGACGCGTCAATAGATAGCTTACCGGTCGTTGGTCACTGAATCTCGTTCTCGTTCGCAACTACGTGAACCAGTGATAGCTCTCTCTCTCTCTCAAAACCTAACAATAACTATGCCACCAATCAGAGAGCAGTTAATTATCGATCGAATCAATGACGCGTAAAACCCGTACGAGCAGTCTAGAGTCCTGATTGGTCTTACTTTTCGCCTAGCCCAGCCAGTTAAGTCCAGAACACCAATTCGAGCCCCTGCGATATGAATCATGTATTTCAAACATACTCGGTTTATATACCAAACAAACAGACCAAAACGAACCATAAAATAGAGAGCAACATTTGTACAAGATTTGGCCAAAAGTGTCTGTGAATGTGGGAGGCAGTGACTAATGGACAGGGTATAATTCAAGAATGGAAAATCATCATAATGACAGTTCATAGGTTAAAATAAAGCTTATGATAAGAGAGACATGAATATGAATAGTTTAGTTAATTAACAATTATACGATAAAAATATACGTATAGTATTGATCCACAAATGGATCCCAAAAATCACCATTCATTTTGCTTATCCGGACCTAGTTGTAGTACCATCGATGAACAAGGAGGGTCTAAAGCAGAAAGAGCAAAAAACACGCTGCGTCGAAAATGGAAGCGGATATAATGAGGATGAATAATAATATATTTCTACATGAGCATGTACACGCCATTTTTACGGGCATGATCTACAAATCACAACATTCGTTGGCTCACAGCATGCTTCTCAACTCATTAAGTTTATAGTTACTGTAAAGTAGACTCGTACAGCACTTACTGTAAACTATGACCTTGAGACGCGTAAGTGAAGTTTGTTCCAGACGTCAGAAGTTTCATAGCTGTGCCCTGAGAGCAAGATTCTGAAGAAAGAAAAAAAGAAACAAGAGCAGCAAGGCGCTTGGATATGAACGCCAAACGTTGCTTTACATTTTGTAGTAGAACAGACAGAGGCATAATAAGTTAGATTAAATTCATATTATCTTTTCTTAGAGTGAAACGAAGCCATATAAGAGAATGTAGTAATAAAGAACAGTGAATTGTGATGTTTAAGAAGTAGGAGTAAGCACACATGAAGGAAGGAAATTCAAGGTTGGTAAAGGAAATCTGTTTATTAGAAGGGAGTGTGTTTATAGAGAGTGAAGTTTTAAGAATACTAATAACTGTATCTTCTACTGTTTGATTTGTTTTTTTTGTCCACCCGATGCCAGCCACACAATCCTAGCGTAAAAGTCCGAGTTAGCATGTTATAGATTGTCTTAGTAGAATAGGTAATCCAGCATAAAATTGGAAACATGAGTCTGAGTGGTGAGCGTAGGAAGACAATCTATATCACAGATTGACTGACTCTTTCTCAGTGATAAAGAGCCTGATACATACAAAATGTTCTGCTCCAGAAACACGGGTGGATTCAAGTAATCGCCCTCACCATCAATGCTTGCTGGTCAGTAACTCCACCCTCACTCCTTTTGTGATTTAAGGCTCATTTAGGCTTATTTTTAAATATATTTCATACCTCACATAATCTTCTGTGTTTCACATCCTGTTGGAAAACAGTATTTCTATGAGTACCATTTTACAAGCTTATCAGGCAGTTACAAGTTATGAACTGTGGGTAAGGCATCGATGCAGTGCTTTAATTGACTATAGTATAAAGTATAGTTTGCCAGTCAGAGTTTATGCATTAAGGAGAGTATAACGTAGGATAGTTTTTTACTAGAGTAAGTGGAAAAACATGGAAGTATATGAGTTGTAGATAAGGTACGGAGTGGAGAAATAATATTAATTGCTAATCAACATATTGCACAGAAAAGTGAAAAGCTAATAACGAATAAACAGGAAGAAACTTGCACTAACTTGGCGCTGATGTCTTTCTGTGTTGTCCTAACCAGTTGATTGCTAACAGGCTCCATAGATGCAGGTCGACTGGTATTAGGCAGCTGATGTAACGGAAAGAGAACGATGAAAATCCCTCCAGCCTTTTTTGTTGGACAGTATTTTCATTTGTTTGTTTCTTCTCCCTGTTATATATTTTAACCTTTGTTCAGATCTCGTTTAAGCTTTTATTATGTGATTTTGATTAAAAACTTATCTTTTTGTTACCTAATTTTCTATTGCATATTGCCGGACTATTGACAGTGAGGTCGTGTTTGACTAAGCTCAAGGTCACGGCGTGATTCGGTGTGTGACTGTTAAACTATTGACTGCCTGCTTGGGAAAATTTCTGGAATCCCTGCAGATAGATATTTGATCCCGTTTGTTGGGAATATATTTGTTGATTCTCAGGTATCAAACTCTTGGTATTGACTGTTTCTTTTATTGTTTAGCGCATTACATTGCGTTAGAGAAACTTCTGACTGTATAGCACAGGCTGTACCGTTTGGGGTATTTTGTATTGTTGATATAAATTGTTCTATTTCTCAAATTAGAACCGTATAAATTGAGCACAGAATTTGTGTTTTGATATAATTTAATACGAGTGTCTCAAAAACGCTTGGCGTGCTTTACGGAAGATTGTAGTCTGACTTATTCTAATACTTTTTAGTTCGTCAGTCTTGCGTTCAAACGGAATACTGCAGTTCGGTCGTTACAGTTGATTGTGCGGTTCTTTTGACTTTTTAGGGTGGTAGTGAGGATCCCTTAGCGACCAAGTCTGGTTGAACAGTATCGGTAGGTCAAGTGAATTACGTATCTACTTCCAGTGAAGAACTAGGGTGGAAAAAGTAACTAATAAAACTGCAAAGTAAAAAATAAGGCAAACTGAAGTCCATTTCGGTCTAGACATGAAGAGAGCCTATGATGTCTAAGTGGAGCGCGTAAGCAATGACGAAATCGACCATAATTCCAATGAACATGCGCAGCATCCCTGCATTCTGTTCAATCGCTTTAGCAGCTTTGGGGTTGTGGTTAATTCTTCAAAATGTGTACTCGAGGTTCCAGACTTTGACTTTCTGTGTCATCACATAGATTCGCATGGTTTAGAGTCTCCCCAAGGAAATATTGACGCAATTGTTGATATTTCTTTTAAGTGAACACTAGATTCGCTTCCTAAGCTCTTCTAGTAACACCCAGGCTGTACACAGTGACTTGAACGTGAGAGAAAAGGAGTGTGATGTAGAAAGAACACTTTACTAAAAGGTTAGTTTATGTACAGAAAATCGAGTGTATTTATTGCATACCAGATGACATTGGGCTTTTGGAAGACTCATGAACCGTAATAAACCATCTAACCAGACATTTAACATATGACCCTTCACTTTCTAGACCTTTCTAGCAAAAACTCTATTGAATGCTGGTTAGATAAGATGTTTCTCAGCGTTATAGAGCCTTTTTTGCTTTTTCGACAAATTTTCTCGATCTTTCCGACAATTACTAACTAACCAGAACCAAATTCAACAAGACCGCTGAAAAGAGTCCTAGGGATCCGTAATTTCTTGCCTAATTATGTAACAACAATATAGTCTGTGGTTGATCTGAGCTTGACCGAGGAAAAATACAGATGAAGAACGATTATAGCTTACAATCCGATAAAGAAGAGGCTTTCAATAACACCATGTCCACTACGGCAACTGCTACTCCGTTGGTGCATCTAAACGGAGACTGTACAACTCATCTATTTTTTATGCACTGTTGCTTCAGAGAACTCTATGGTGGCTGTGTTACAACAACAAGCCAGGTACATCACTACACCTCTATCATTTTCTCTAAACGATTGTCACCAGCCCAAACAAACTATAGCACCTTCTGGAGCAAATTACCAAAGATCTATTGGGGGGTAAAAATTTTTATTTTCTTACTATAGGTACGTGAATTATTGATAACGACTGGACAAAAACCCTTGTTTTATTTCTTCAACCCATCATATGATCAGCAATCAGTACAACGAGCTCGACTACTACAGCAAATATCTCTATTTGCAAAAGACACTCAGTTCAGTAAAATCACCCCAATGTTTTAACAGACAGTTTATCTTGAAAGGACACCAACACGCTGGTACAAAAACGAGATATCAATCTCCAAACCATGGCCAGGTCACAAGTGGACGACACAAATTTAAAAACATGAAAGTGGAACTCTGAATTGATTCCCAAACATGTATAAGGTCCCTTGTTGGATTTTTCCATCATGTGTGACCTGTCTGTGGCTGTCGTTTTGTCACTAAAGCTTGTCGGTGAAGAGTATTTCAACAGCTCCATGAACTATAAAAACCAAAGATACGAGCTACAGCATAACTCATCACCGCACTTTTTTGACCGAAGATTGATTCTGGTACAAAACTTCGGGCAAAACCTGCACAGCAGTCAGTGCCATTGTAAAAATCCCATTACTCAACAGTTATTTCCAACAAGTTCATTTAGATATCGTCAGTTGACTCTCTCTTTCAATCATGGAATAATTTCAAGAAGAATCCAAAAAGACGCAAATCAGCAGCAGATTCACAGTTTTTGTTGCTGCTGACTGAAATTGAAATTTGTTTAAGCTGTTCAGTATATATCACCACTGAGTTCCAGCGCTCAGTTCCGATCAAGGCCACTTGGTATGTTTTAACTGACGTTAAGGCGTCAGATATGTAGATGTTTCTAACATCTTAGTTGTATAAGTTTTGGGTAATATTTTTGAGTATGTTACTGATGTATCTGAGTTGTTGGTATTTTTATTCAATGTTCACGTATTTTCGGCTTAGCTCTAATAATACGAAATTATCCGGTTTCCCACCATCTCCTGATTTTTGGGTTTTCCATAGAACCATTTAAAAATTAATCGTTTCTCCCCTTATTAGGAGAAATGCTTATCGAAGCTATCAGACTAATGAGAATTCTGATAGCTTCTCAGTCAGTGGAATTTGTATGGAAAAACCTCAAAACTAGAGTAGTTCGGCTAAACACGAATGTCCTGCGTCAAAAAGTATTTAGGCGTTTTATAGTGTGATAAAAACTGACACTTTCTTTACATGTCAAAATGCAGTACTTTAAGGATTGACGAACTACTGAGGCTGATAAATGTTTGCACGTTCCTAGTTGAGTGCTTTTTAAATTAAATAATTGTATTTAGTTACGAGATTGTCTTTACCCACTACATTGTCCATTAACTTTCAGCTTTGCATATTTATCTGAACTGGCTTTTACGATCACAGTGTTTTGTGTGATGAAAGTTTATTACTATGTCGTCACGACGTGATTCCTGTTTAAGATTTAATAAACCTTGTTTCTGTGAATTGTCAAACACACCTCAACATTCGTGGAAAAACTTATACAAAGTTGAAGGTGACCCTATTGGACGGTATGTTTACTTTTGGACTAACGGTTTGTATAGTGGTTATGCTGGGAAAGTTTACAAAATTGCTACTGGTAATATGGAGCTACTGGATCCTTCGATAGTGAAGAAGTCTCAACTCACAGCAACAATGTATTCAGAAAGTGCTTTTGCTGAGCCTGGAGAATACTTAGCTTGCAAAGTCATCCGTAGATTTCGTGGAGGAAAGGATACTATTGCAAAAATTACCTCTGAAGTTCAAGCTATGGTCAGTTTGCAAAGAGATCATCTTAGTACTTATCATAACTCTATGTATAATAAGCCATCTGAAAAACCTTCCAGAATTTGTAACCATCGAGTTCCTCCCAAATCAGCCTCACCGACACTGTTTGCAGTTTACAAAGACTCAATGGAAGTTGCTATTATCATGGAGTAGTAAGTTTTTGGCGTAATTAAATGTATCGATTGATAGACCAGTTACTGTGCTGAAAGGTTGAATATAATTCATATCAAAGCTTTTTTACTACCTGATTAGATATTTATCAACATTTTCAATATTATTGCATTTGGTTATATAAATTGCCACCTAAGATTCTAGTACAGATGTCTTTTGTATGAACTCGCCAACTTCCTATCTGTATGAACATGTTTTGAATCATTTTTCCGAATTAGCTTTCTAAGAAACATAAATCTAACTTGGATAGTATTATAGTTCATAGATATTGAAAGTATCACCACGTGAATTTATGCAACATTAAATCTCATTATGAGATTGGTAGTCTACTAATTTTTATGTTTACTACCTATCAAGTTACATATTCTGAAGCCAGGTTAAAAAATAATAGGATTCTCCTGAAATATTGTAAGTCTTAAGGCCTTTAAATAAAAATATTTATGACTTCTTGGTCCAAAAACAAAAATAATAAATCAACATAACTGTGAAATAAATCTCTACTCAGACGCTTCATTTTTGCTTTCGGTTTTAGTCACTCCTAATGTTGTTTTTATTCTGTCGAAAACTCTTGTGATACCGTATTTTAAATTTCATGGGAAACGTTACCAATATTTCTCCGGAACAGACTTTGTCAAAATAGTTACCAGTGATTTGCCACCTAGAATACTATGGAATCGAAGACAGTATGTTTCAAAATTATTCAAAAGATATTATCCTCTTGGTATCCCACGTTAATTAGTTTGGAGTTGACTTTGTAGATGTGGTATAGAGCTATTAACTAAGAAATAAAACAGTTCATATGATTGAAAAAGACCCTACAGATACCAATTAATGTTTGTTATCTTTCCCAATTTCGAAGCGAAATTGCTTACTTACTCCTGTTACCCTTCATGGAGGAGCATAGTCCGCCCAACAACATTCTCCACCCAACCTTGTTCTGGGCAATCCTCTTCATGTCCACTTCCGATTCCCGACTCAGCATATTCTTTTGTCTCCCCCTTTCCCGTTTCCACTCATTATTCGAAGTTAGGGCTTGCTTCGTGATGCAGTTTGATGATTTCTGTTTCCATCGTCGTTTCTTCATCTCTTCTTCAGATGAAAGCTGGTTTTTTTCTCTCCTACAGCAGTCCGTTGCTGATAGTATCCGGCCAACGGACATTCAGAATCTCACGTAGACAAATGTTTATAAATACTTGTACCTTTTTATGATGGTTGTAGAAGTTCTCCATGTTTCAGCTACGTACCGTGAAACTTTTGACATTCTTATTGAAGATATTGACTTTGATATTGGTTGAGTTTTTTCAGTTTCATATGTTCATTTGTAGGGATGCTGCACTTTACTAATCCATGCCTTCACATCTACATCAGATCCTCCTTGTTTGTCGGCAATGTTTCCCAGGTACGTGAAAATTTCCACCTCATCCAGAGCTTCTCCATCAGGTGTGATAGGGTTGGTGTTCTCCGTGTTCCATTTGATGATTTTGCTTTTTTACTTGTGTTAAACTTTTGTAATTCTGTTTCCCCAGTTTTTCAGTGGTTCTTGGGCTTCAGTTTCGTTTTGGTGACCACTAGGTGGTGATCTGAAGCTATACCAGATCCTCTCTTTCTTCCTGCCTCCTTCATTGACTTTCCGAATGTTTTAGTAAATCACAGATGATCTATCTGGTTCTGTGTAGTGTGATCCAGTGAGATCCATGTAGCTTTGTATTTGCGTTTGTGTGGGAATGTTGTACCACCTATAGCCATTTTGTTGAATACAGATAAACTTGCAAATCAGCCCTAGTGGGTTGGTGTCTGACGAAATCTCTGCACGGATTCAGAAAGCTCGTTTGGCTTTTGCCAACTTACGTCACCTATGGCGAAGGCGAGATATCCGTCTATCAATTAAAGGACGAGTATACTGCTCAGTAGTCCGTTCTATTTTAACTTACGGCTGCGAAATTGGCCATTAAGAGTAGAAGATACTTGTAAGTTACTAGTATTTGATGACAGATGTCTTAGAAATATTGCTTTTGTGTGCTGGTATCACCGTGTAAGTAATAGTGAGGATAGACGCAGGGTATTATGGAGTGATGTTGAATCAGTCTATGGAGTTGTGAATCTTCATCGACTGAGATGGTTTGGCCACGTGTTGCGTATGTCTGAACACCGATTACCACAACTCGCAAAGCTGACTAGTGTTGTGGATGGTTGGAAGAAAGTTATGGGTGACTAAATCAAAATGTGGTATCAGTCGTTTTAGTCACTAACTTCTGGTGTGAACCATGTTGGTAGATGCAGACTACTTGATTGTGGTCGACGTGACTATCGTAACCAATGGTTGTAGACTGTGTGTATGACATGGCTCAGAATCGACCATAATGGCGTAAGTCTATACATTCCCTGTCCCATGGTAGCCGGTGACCACCAATAGTTTCATACACCTTTTGTTCTCCCAGGATCTTGGAGATCATGTGCACCACTGGTTTGGAATCAGGGTTTTCCAACTCCCCTAGGTGAATCCTCCATATTCACAAACCCGGTTAAAGCACCGGACATTCGCTTCTAAACATCTCAAATTCGTAAACATTACCCCCTCTCTGCGAGAAGGCAGTGAGTAAGACTTCTCTGACAGTGACTGTATACGCGTGATCATATGAGAGCATTTAGAGAGGGAGAGTGGACTCACCCCACCCTCGGCCGTACTGGGCATTTGAGATTCCCATCCGATAAGTGTGTGTAGTGTTTCTTAAACAGCATCAGTGCAGCTCCTTGTATGAATGAAGCTTTTTCTTTGTGATCAAAGTACAAGAGCATCTCCCGAATCTAATATTTTGTGTTCAGCTAGCGTCCAACGTGTTTCGTTTACTCTAAGCACCACCCTGCTGTATATCCTAATTTCTGTAGCTATTTGATTGGTCCTCCTGGTATCCTACATTATGCGGACTTCCCATGTATCTATATTAATTGTTGCTGTAGTTGTCAAAAGGCGTCACAATTCTTCCGAACCAAGATCGTTCAATTCGGAGGGTAGAGTTTAAATGGTTTAAATTGCTTATTCTGGTTAGCGTTTTTCTAGCAAGGTTTTTTCTATGAGATTGGGTTGTTGACCCCATACCCAACCCTACTTTTTATCCGGGTTTGAGACCAGTGGTAACCCTGGAAGTGCTACAGGCGTTATTGGGAAATTAGGGAATGCGAATATTCTAATAGGATACGTTTTGAACCATGTCATCTGGATTTCAAAGTCATCAAGAGGCTCCATGTTTTTCTGTATTCAGTTCAAACAAATGCTCCAAATTATTCTAACCACCACAAACATCTTTTATTTCTGTGCTAAATTTGCCGTTGCTCTTTAATGCTGTTGTGTGGGCTTGGATAAAGAAGGTGATCGAGTTCGATGCAAGTTAACATCACCCAAACTGTTTACTTATTTATGTACATTTACTACAAAGCTTGACACCTAACTTTGTCTTTGTGTATTGGTTATGTGAAGCAAACTATCCAACGGTTTCGAATACTTTTCTTCCAATAAGAAACCTCTTGTATCTCCATTAAAATAAGTAAAAGATGTCAGTTTCTAGTAGGATTTTATGAACTTATTTCTACTAGTTCAAAGAGTTTAAAATGTCTTTACTTAAGTGCTATGTATATGAGATAAAACTTGAGTCTTACGTTTTTCATTTTTCAAAGAAGGGTCTTATTCGTTCCGTTATAATATGAAGTAAAACTAGCAAATATGGTTTTTCAAATACTAGAAACTAAATTTTATGTGGGATTCTTTAAATCTTTCGAATTTGTCTACGTTAAAACATATAGCGTTAAATGTTTAAGACGTTTTAATATCTGTAGATTCCTGATAATAATAATTGAACGATGCCGCTGGTGATAACGTTGTAAATTTCAGCATTGGTCATTGAGATACGATCCTTGAGACAGCAACTATATAATGTGAAGATGTAAAGTGTTTTCTCGTGGAGGAAAATAACCACCTCTATTTCGTGAGATGGCATACAAAACTTTGTCTCATATTTGTCCTAGGTTCTACATTGACAATAATTTAAACAAAACTTGGCCAAGACAGAATTTACATCCAACCTATTTAATTAAGTTTTTCCGTTTATTTTAACGGCTTGCAACGAACAGATTATTAACAACAGTTCAGTTTGTAAATTGTTTGGACATACAAGTCAAATGTCGTATAATGAAGATCTGATTTGTCCATTGTAATTCAAATTACTTATGAATTCAGTATAAAGTTTGCACGATTGAAATTTATTTTCGAGTTTTATATTTGTAGCTGACCAGTGTCCTTACTGATTAAGTGTATAAATATAGATTTATGACTACCACCTATCAGTATAGGTTAGGTCAGCTAATCAGTTGACCACCAAGTTTTAGATAACATCAATTGGGATTTGTTCTATTTTTTAATTTACATCTAAATATTACGTTTTTCCTGTGTTTGTACCAATGATTATTCATTTTCTTTTGAAGCGCTAGTGGTGGATCTTTATACGACTTGTGTAGATCTGCTTATCTGTATGACTTTGCTGCTAGTCCAACCAGTTCTCCTTGCGGCGATTTATCCGTTCCTAATTCACATACAACAATCCCACAGTCGAAACACTTTGGTTCATTTGACGGATTGCCTGAATCATATATTCGTCAACTATTAACCAGCATTCTTGAAGCTTTGGTCTACATGCATGATACTCTTAGAATGGTTCACTTAGATGTTAAAGTAGGTTTGGAAAAACATCGAATTACAGTTTCTATTAATTTTAAATGCTTTTAACTTCAATAAAACTAGGATGCACTTCACATTGTCAAGGAGTGTATAATTTTACTTTAACTAGATAGTTATCACTAGTGGAGTTGAACAATTAAGAGTTTTAACACAAATCACTCAAAAATTGAAATGTAGAATATTGGATTCTGACTACTTTAAGACAGGGAAGTTCTTAGTCCATGCTCTGCAAAAGGTTGTGAGTAGTCGAAATTGATAAATCCGATATTAAAACAAACAACCCATTCTGTGCTTCTTGGTCTTCAGTATACCTCAATTTGTATCAATCCGTAATAAAAGCCATCTACAAATTTAAATAATCTTTACAAAAAGTTTCGTCAAAAATACAATTAAATACTTCGATCAACCATTTAGAACTTATTTTCATACAAAAATTAGTCAAGATTAGTCAACTATTTAAACTTGGATTAATTTTAATTTGGTTATTTATTCTCTGAAGAGGTGACTCACACTAAGTCACGAAACGTCAGAAAATCTAATTTTTCTACTCATCGGGACATTACAAATATATTATTTATTTATTTATAACATGAAAATTGTTAATTAAAGAGGATGACCAAGGCCAAAGTAATAATGTTTAGTTATTTTTATTTGAAAATCCTTTTAGTGACATAACTTGTGACCGTCGATTAGAGAGCAGTGAATTATCGATCGGATCAATGACGCGTAAAACCCGTACGAGCAGTCTAGAGTCCTGATTGGTCTTACTTTTCGCCTAGCCCAGCCAGTTAAGTTCAGAACACCAATTCGAGCCCCTGCGATATGAATCATGTATTTCAAACATACTCGGTTTATATACCAAACAAACAGACCAAAACGAACCATAAAATAGACAGCAACATTTGTACAAGATTTGGCCAAAAGTGTCTGTGAATGTGGGAGGCAGTGACTAATAGACAGGGCATAATTCAAGAATGGAAAATCATCATAATGACAGTTCATAGGTTAAAATAAAGCTTATGATAAGAGAGACATGAATATGAATAGTTTAGTTAATTAACACTTATACGATAAAAATATACGTGTAGTATTGATCCATAAATGGATCCCAAAAATCACCATTCATTATTCTTATCGGGGCATAACACCTTTTACTTATAATTTTGTATTACATTTTCAGTAAACTATAATTTTATTTTGTCGATGGCGAATATTTAGTAGATCTTATTTTACTGAATGCGGTCCAGTGCTCATTTTGAATCCTCATTATCAATTTTAATTACACTATTATTTTCATATTATTGATGATTGATTATCAACATATGTTCAAAGTACAAGACTTAAGTTAAATATATGAATTCTTTTCGGTCATTTTTACTTATCATAATGATCATAATCATCATCATCATCATCATGTTTATCAGCATTACAACAGAAAATTTATTCACTCTATATTACTAAAAGGTATAAACATTCCATTCTAGGTCATTGTGAATATGTTAATTTTACCCATAAATTTTTTTTTTTTCCTTTTTAAACTTTGCAAAGTTTGACCTCCCATCGTTAAAAAATATTTAGGCATTTCAAGTTGTATAACTGTTTAACTATGGGATAAGTTGTTGAAAAATATATTGTACTCATCACGTAACTAGATTGAATTCTGCTTAAGTCTGTGGATATACCCAATCGATCATAAGCAACATACAACGTGAGACATACTTGAATTGGTTCAAGTTGACATATCAAATCAGCGTAGTAAGATACAGTTATAATGATCAATACCAGAGTAGTAGTAATAACAGTATTAGTGGTAGTAGAAAAGGTTAAACATAAACAAGTTTATAAAATATAAAATAATAGTATTATGAAATGTAAACAGATCTTATATAATTAGTGAATCTATTAGTGTTTTCTACGAGTTTTTCTGCCTATGAACTGAAAAATCAACGATATATAAGTTCATTTTTATGAATATACATAATACGTCCTGTCAAACTCTTATGAAGACCAAAATGAATTTCTAAGAGTTCTCACATTTTCTTTGGTTAGGGGTTTATGATTGAGGTTTTTATCATGAGCAATAATGCAAAAATGCTCTGTAGTCATATGGATGATTACGTTTCGCACAAAAAAATGGAAGAAATGCTATCTACTTTGTTCGTCCATAAAACATCATGTCACCTGATTAAGGTTGGTCTCAGGATTAAGGGTTTATAGTTAGAATTTACAGTGTCAGTTGGGCTGTTTTATGCAATGCACATAGGCAAAACTGAGTATTTGGGACGTGTAACATGTATGATGTGGGCTACTTATGAGGAGAGGCAAGTAGTATGTAGCAGGAATTGGAAGTAGAATGCTTACCAGCAGAAGAATGAAATAAAGAGAGAGGGAAGGAAAACGAGGAGAATTCGGAATAACAACAGGATCTGAAGAATGATGAAGCGTGTAAGGGACAACTGAAGGAAGATATGCGAATGATGTATTTAATGTATGATTTTCATATTTTCCCAAGGCACTGTGTGATTTCGCATAAAACGAGAAGTTGGTTTCCCCCACCAAGTCTTCGTTCACTACATATACACATCAAATTCAAGGTTTCTGCTCTCGATTTTAAAGTAAACTTTTTATACTAGCCAAATGAGATTACTATCCAGTTGCCCAAACTGAAGTAGATAAAAGTGAGATTGGGACTTGAAACCTTAATGGTTCAAATCCACTGCCAGGGGAGTCCTACTCACTGCCTTCTTGTGGCGGTGTGTTGTTTACGAATTTGGGAGGACGAAAAGCGAATGTCAGGCGCTTTAACCGGGTTGGTGGACATGGAGGATCCATCTAGGGGAGTTGGAAAACCCTGACTCTAAAACAATCGTGCACATGGGCTCCAGTATCCTGAAGGAACAAATGGCGTATGAACCAATCGTTGGTCACCGACTACCATGGGACTGCATCTCTTTACGATGCTCCACTGCATTGTGGGTCAGACCTTTAGGTCGAAGGCTCGGGGTGTGGCCCCCTAAGAAAACCACCTGCTTCGGTCTGGACACCCGGGCAGTATCACAGCCCTCACACAAATAAGATTTTGTGTGGCGCATATATATTCGGTGCCCTCTTGTACCAATATTTATGTGTTCAAATAATAATAATAATACATAAGGTCGAAACTGTCAGGGAGCACCTGTTCTCTTGAGATTACAGGTACACCTTTCTGACGAGTGCTAAATAGCATGAAACCTAAGTTAATGTTTTCCTATCGACTACCTCTAACCACTGTCTTATCGTGTGACATATTTGTTGGGATCAGATGAATGATTTTAAATGCATTGTTTACACCCACTTGATGTTCCGTATCAGTTGAATGAGCCTATGCGCAACTTTTAACTGACTTTAGCAGTCTCTTACTTAACGAGACAATACTGTCACCTGGATACTTGTGGGTTCAATGTAACCGACTTTGTAGGGGAAGTCGAATTGGTAAATGCACATAGTTGAAGCGAAGAACGGCTGGAATTTCCGGTATCGATTTTATTATTATTGTTAAACACATATATTAGCGTAGAGCCATGATGAAAAACCATTTGTAACGAAATATTTCTTCTCTCTATTAGTCCTATTAAAATATTTAATGTGCTATAGGGTTGTTATATTTGATCAATAGTAACTTTAATGTTATAAAGTAATCAATATTTTACCCATCTACTTACTTATTTTTTTATTAAAGGCTGAAAATCTTTTACTGCGTCAACCCTATCCGTCTACTGACGTATTTTTCACAGATTTCGGTTTAGCGACCATATTAACTGAAGGTAAACAACATCGAGAGCTTGCAGGAACTCCTGATTATGTCGGTAAGTGCATTTGTTTTTTGTCCTCACTCTTCGAATATCTGAAAACTAATGAACTGAATACTGTAACTGGAAGTTGAATTTGCAATATGTATAAATTCCGTTTTTTAAAATATTAAAGTATAATTGTGAATGAGATTTCTTTAATTACTCAGTAATTCTTATCATTATCACCACCAATGTTTATATTGAAATATAGGTATTCGTAAGAACTTTCAATGATATATGGGCAAAGTATAATATAGGGCACAAGCATAGAATGACGTTAAAGTTATCCCTTAGTTTTGATGTTAAATGTTAACCAATGAACAGATTTACTTACTTACTTCTGTTATCTCTCGTAGAGGAGCATAGGCCGCCAACCAGAACCAATGAACATAGAGTTTTCGTAAATCAAATTAAAGAGTTCATCATCAATTTTCCGATTAGTTAATACTTCTAAAAAACACACAATTAAATTATGATACATATATTTGTATATCAAGTTTCTTGTTCAAATGATACTTTGTCCAGTAGTTAGATTGATTGAACTTTATAACTTGTAAAGTGTAATTGTTATCAGCATAGGATTGAAAAAGTAAAATAAACAATTTTTATGAAATAGTCAATTATATCTCTTTAAACTAATTACACCACATGAATATCTATCTATCTATCTATACCTTTCTTCATGTTATGTTAGTGGAATTTCGAATTTTTGTTGTTGTTTTAGTTACGAAATCAAAAACCAGTCTCTATTTATTATTATGCGATGTATACGTATACGTAAATGTATACAATGATAAGTGTATATGGTAACTTGTGATTTCGGTAAACAGTTGAAAGAATAACTAACAAGAAATTTAAAACTATGTAAATTTAGGACTCGTCAGTTGAATGTACCTACATCCCATTCACCTCAAATGCCATCGTATTATTCACTTAACTACTAAGTTCAGAAAGCTACTACCTTGTGCAACGGAATGAAGTTTTAATTCATTTTTGTATTGGTTGTTTGAGTTATCCCATTGATATTTAGGGCTGTAATTGATCAGTCTTATCTAAATTTAGATATACCAAATGAAATACAAAGTAATAAATTAAAAAAAGATTATAATAGGTATTCATCTTCTCTAACTGCCCAATATTTCTATTTCTATGAAATTTGAATTATAGTCAATGGAAATTTTTAAAAAACATAATAACATATATTTTAAATGTTGTAAACTTGATTACCTCAGTAGCATCAGTAGGATTCCTCAAGTTCTCTTGATATTATTAATACTTATTTAAACGTTATTCGTAAAAGACTGTAGAATGTTCTTTCACATAAGGTATATATTTATAATATTCAGTTTATTCAATCTATTTACATCCTTTCTATACTATACTAATGTGTCTTCACAATATAACTTCCAATCAAACCCTTTGATGTAATTATAATTTTAAATATCATAGGTTCTAAGCAACTGATGAGAACCTACGAAATAAAATGATAAAGGGAACTAGTTGTGAGAAACCAGTATCTTAGATCCCACTGTTAACTACAGTCCATTTATTCTAACACAGAAAGAACTGCTTAAAATCATCGTCCTTCTTATCTTTTTGTTCTAAAATAAGTTTTCGTTTTCTTTCTGTCAAATAGGTTATCGTTTCTTTTATAACTTTTACCCCTGTCAATTATTATGTGACAAAATCGGCAATCAGAATACCTACTTATATGACCTTAAGGCGAGGGAATAAGTTTTTTCATTTGATTAACGAACATGCTTATATACGAATTATTAAGAGAATGTTAAGCATGATGGTATGTCTTGAATAGTTGTAGTTCTGTAGGTTACCCACTGTATAATGGAATTAAGGCCTCATCATATCAAAAAGTATTCAACCAAGACTTATCTTGAAAGTTTGATCAGCCCTAATGGGTTGGTATCTGACGAATTCTCTGCACGGATTCAGAAAGCTCGTTTGGCTTTTGCCAACTTACGTCACCTATGGCGAAGGCGAGATATCCGTCTATCAATTAAGGGACGAGTATACTGCTCAGTAGTCTGTTCTATTTTAACTTACGGCTGCGAAATTGGCCATTAAGAGTAGAAGATACTTGTAAGTTACTAGTATTTGATGACAGATGTCTTAGAAATATTGCTTTTGTGTGCTGGTATCACCGTGTAAGTAATAGTGAGGATAGACGCAGGGTATTATGGAGTGATGTTGAATCAGTCTATGGAGTTGTGAATCTTCATCGACTGAGATGGTTTGGCCACGTGTTGCGTATGCCTGAACACCGATTACCACAACTCGCAAAGCTGACTAGTGTTGTGGATAGTTGGAAGAAAGTTATGGGTGACTAAATCAAAATGTGGTATCAGTCGTTTTAGTCACTAACTTCTGGTGTGAACCATGTTGGTAGATGCAGACTACTTGATTGTGGTCGATGTGACTATCATAACTAATGGTTGTAGACTGTGTGCATGACATGGCTCAGAATCGATCACCATGGCGTCGGTGTATAGACTCTTTGTCTTCCCTTAAACCATGAGATTAGAATTACATTATACCTTTCTTTCTGCGATCTAGTTTTTTCTCTTTATATGCAATATTTATTTTATGTATTACCACCACTGAAGTAAATGCTATGAGTTTGATCTCCATCTTGTTTTGCTAATGAGGTGTGGCAACTTGGACCGAAGCATAAATGGTCCTGATCCTGCTTTGTAGCTGGCTTACTGGTGAGTGAGAATTCAAATTACAAGTTAACCACCAAACTAATACGTCTATCTGTCCTGTCGACACATGGGTTTTTTGTCATTTATGTTGATCTAGCGGCGTTGGTTTGCCATCAAAATCTGTTATTCTAGTTTGGTTACAGGCTGGTTGTTACTCATTTTCTTTTTCTTTTAAAATATGACTTTTCTGAAAATACAATTTTTTATAAATACGAAATCTAAGTTGAGAGGCTTTTTATTTTTAAAAATACTAGTAAAAAAGTGCAAATTCTCACCATCAATATCATTATACCAATTGAACGTTATGTCGTTTAAATCATTGACTAACAGGTTCTAGTCCTATTGGGATCATAAAGACTATGGTACAGGTATATATTGGACTGATGAGTCTAAATGAAGTCTTATGTGTGTTAGGAATGATAACCAAGTTGAAGTAAGTTTGACTGACTAGTTTATCGCGTTTTATATCACTAACAGATTTTAGATGAGCACTCATTTGAAAGCAGGAAACACGACAATTGTTTCGTTTTAGTACAGGATTCCTCAAGAATTCTTATCCACAACCCCACATAAGATCGAACCCCAAATTATCACATCCAGCACTTAAACTTTAGATCTGTCGACTGGTATTCAATAACTTACATGTGTCTAATTTCAATCAATTCGCCACACTGTACAACCATTTTCAAATACCACTGATAGATAATTGTTTCACATCCGATATAGTTAAATTTTATTGGTCACTAGAACTCGTCTGTATTATCATTTGTATCTATACGATTGATCAAGTCTCTAATGAATTCAATTACTGCTTTTAGATTAACATTTACGATTGTCAATTTAGGGGTTGTGGAGATTGTTCAGTTTTTGATTGAGGTCATGAGACGATTAATGTTAGACCACCATTGAAAACCTGGAAACACTGGACGGCCGTCTCGTCTTATTGTGGGAATCCTCAGCAGTGCGCATCTACGATTCCGCTAGCGGGATGCGAACCGAGGGCTTTCAGTCTCGAGCGCAAACGCTTAACCTACTGGACCACTGAGCCGGCATCCAATGGTGTTAATGTCTAACCAGTGGAGCTAATCCGTTTCAGTTAGAGACAGGTATCTACCTCAGTACAGTACAATGGAAAATGGTCGCGCAACTTCGTGGATTGGTTGATGTTAGACACTAACACCATTGGATGCCGGCTCAGTGGTCCAGTAGGTTAAGCGTTTGCACTCGAGACTGAAAGCCCTTGGTCCGAATCCCGCTAGCGGAATCGTGGATACGCACTGCTGAGGAGTCCCACAATGGGACGAAACAGCCGTCCAGTGTTTCCAAGTTTTCAATGGTGGTCTAATATCAATCGGTTCATGATCTCAATCAAAAAATTTACTATTGTCTTATATCTACTTTTCTTCATCGAATTTTACTCACTATTTAGTTGTTGTTCAACATACATGTGTACAATTGTTTCCATGTAAAATTTAATCAAATTAATTTACTAGTCATGAATGAATTAAAGATTTTGTGAATTTATTTATTTATTTATCTTTGGTGATAAATTCAATCTTTGATCAATATATATATATATATATATATATATATATATATATATATATATATATATATATATATATACCATTGATATAAAAGAAACAAACAAACAAACACACACACATACGTATGAGAACACTTGAAACATAAAACAATAGTCACAATACAAAACTAACACAATCTATCAAGTGTATAACATTGAAATATAATATTGAAACAAGTAAATTTTTGTTACCAGAGAGAAGAAAAAAAACTACCTAGATAATGTATTGTGCTTTTCTTTTTTCCACTCCATGTTAGTTTTAAGCAATCCTAAGTGGTTCGTTCTTTTTAAATAAGGTAAGGTAACCTGTGAAATGTCTTCATATCATTATTATTTTTCTCTCTCACGCTTATACAGTGAACTAAATAAACTTTTTAATTAGTTTTTCTTTCAATGCAAGATTTTTAAAAAAAATCAGAATATGGAGGATTCACCTAAGAGAGCTGAAAAATTCTGATTCCAAACTAATGGTGCATATAGGATCTAGGATTCTGTAAAAACCAATGGGTTATGAATCTATAGTTGGCCACCGGCTACTATGAGACTGCAATCTCCTTACGTTGCTCCACTTTGTTATAGATTAGACTTCTAGGTCAAAGACTCGAGCCGTGGCCTTTCACGAAAATCATCTGCTTCGGTTTGAGCACTTGGATAGTATTTTATCCTTCAAACAAATCGAATAATTTGTGTGGTGCCTCTTTACACCAAGATTTATGTGTTTAAATAAATAAATGGACTATATATATTTCACTACATCTATTGTGTTATTGTTATGATAAATAATTTTGAATGTGCTATGAATATGGCTATATACTTGTATTGGTAATATAATAACTACAATTGAAATCGATAGATAATAGTTAATAATACATGGATAAATCAACAACTGTTGGTGAAATGAAATCATTTATACAATTAATCTTGCGTGTTAGTTTGTTATCAAATGACAATAGAATATAGTCTTTCTTAGACGAAACATAACTTAAATGTAGAAAATGTTGCTAAACATAAAAATAACTATGATTTGAAATTGTTCGAAATCGATTGAGCGATCCGGATTATTTTTCTGTCACTTACACTTCCATGACATTAAAATTTAACTGTCAGACTTTATTTTTATTTCGTTGGTTCTCGTCAGCTGCTTACAACCTGTGATATTTATAAATCATAATTACATAATGGGTTGAAATTGCTTACATGAAAGAGTTTGATTGGAAGTTATATTGAAGACATATTCGTATAGTGTAGCATAGGTGTAAATAAAATTAAGAGACTGAATATTGTAAATATATAGCTTATGTAAAAGAAAATTCCACATTTTTTTCTTTAAAGTCTTTTTGGAATTTATTACATCATTGAGTTTCATTTCAAGTATCTTCCAAATTAATAATCTTATTTTATCAATTGAGCTCTACTCATTATATTCCTATCAATATTTATTCATTATGTAATCACTTGTTTCTAGCCCTTTGAACTGTTGTCACAATCAATGTTGTAGAATGTTCTTTTATATAAGGTATATATTTACAATATTCAGTCTATTCAATTTATTTACACCCTTGCTATAGTATGCAAATATGTCTTCAATATAACTTCCAACCAAACTCTCTCATGTAAGCAATTTCAACCCATTATGTAATTATAATTTATAAATATCACAGGTTGTAAGCAGCTGACGAGAACCAACGAAATAAAAATGAATTCATGCTATTGTGCTAGAATATTTGTTCTTGCTCTTTTTAAAATGATAAAGGGAACTATGTGTATGAAATGTCAGACTTTATTTTTGTTTACTCTTTGTACCTGTTATCGGGAAAAAAATGACTTACATCTTTTGGATATAATGAAATCCAATTTTAACCGAATTGTTATGAATTGTTTGATCATGTATTTGTTTTTGTTTTTTTGAGATGGTGGAAAAGATTTGTAGCTTAGGTGAATGATATTGATGAAGTTTTGTTCTTTGAGCATGACCAAATCATTCAGCTCAGAGAACAAAACTCCATCAAAATGTATTTTCTTTTCTCTAAGTTTTTCCTCATTTCAATTAGAGTCAGTCAGTCAGCTACAACGTAGGACCAGGCACATATACGCATTGGTCCAAGTTGTCAAACCTCATTAGCACGGCAAGATGAACAGCAGATTCATAGAATCCAATTGTGATAATATATAAAAGAAAGATCGCATATAGGATATAGTACAGGAAGGAATAATTATTTGGTAGAAAGATATGAAGCGATTTTAATCTCATAGTTTAAGGGAAGACAGAGAGTGTATACACGTACGCCATTGTGATCGATTCTAAGCCATATCACCCAGAGTCTAAAACCATTGGTTACGATAGTCACGCGGACCCCAACCAACTAGTCTGTATCTACCAACATGGCTCAGATCAGAAGTTAGTGACTTGAAGCACTGATGCCACATTTCGGTTTGAGCGCCCCTAACTTTCTTCAATTGGAACCAAATATATAAGAGAAACTGTATATCTATGTATAGAATATTAATGCTTAAAACTTCCTTATTTCATGTATTAGTAATAATAATAATTATTATAATAATAATAAAGGAACTATATAACTTATTTATTTATTATTGATTATTTAATAAAGTTTTAATTGATTCAATGAAATATACGGGTAATTTAATTCAATTTCTTTTTCTATTCAATAAATTACTTATAAAATACCCGCATTTTTTATAATGAAGTAGTGAATCATTAATAAATTTAATTTAATTTTGTCAATAGATAATCTGTTATTACATTATGATTTTATTAGATATTTTACAATTTAAGCGAAAGTATCAATGATGTTATTGTTCTTTATTGTTTTGGTATTCTTTAACCGTACAATATATACTCTAGATTAGAACAAGAATTATGAAAGAGTGATATATAAATTCCTATGAATCTGAACAACATAGATTATATTGTTATTATTATTATTATTAGTAGTAGTAGTAGTAGTGTGGTGTCGGTTACTTATATCCACATAAGTAGTATATCACGATGGTCAGGCATAGAATGTATTTTAGTAGAAGATCAATAAGGAAAGAATGGGAAAAGAACGCAATTGGTATGAAAATGTATAAACAATGAAATCTGAGACAATCGACTGATATTTGCAAAAGGAACAGTGAAGTTATAATATGATGGATTGATATTTTGCAACTTAACTATTTACTATATATGGTTCTCAGATTTTAGTGAGATACTCTGTAATTTCATGTTGGATACATTCGATTGTCCCTAATCGTGTTCTTGTTCACTACAGTATAGTAGTAGTAGTAGTAGTAGTAGTATCAAAGTTTTCGTAAAATTAAAAAAAAACATAAATCTTCGATAAAAGTATAGTGTAGGGATGAGTTTCAAATAACTGCAACGAATTATCAACCAGTTCTTAACCAAATTAGAAAATGGCTTTTGAAAATGAATAGTTGATAAAAAATAAAACAGTAATATCACAATGTGTAAACAGATTTTATATAATTAACAAGTGTGTTAACGTCTTCTATAGATTACTCTACCTATAATTAAGAATGAATTTATCGTTATAGATATAGATTATTTGTATTCTTGAACCCTTTAAAGAACCCAAATAGATTTTTAGGAGTTTTCACATTATTCTTGATTAGAATTATGTATTTATGGTAAGGATTATGGGGTTAAGGATTTCAGTTTTTATCATAGACTAACACAAGTTATAATCAAAAAAAATTCATTAGGGATATTATCTATTTTCATGTTTTGTTTGATCTATATAAACAGAATTGAGTAAATGATATAATTAAAACTATCATTTTTACTATTTAATGACAAAAATTAACTTTTTACTGTGATTTTAAACGTTCTGAGCATTGTACAAAGATATTTCTATTGCTCGCTACAGATGGTATTTGAATATTATACTCGTCTCTATACTATACCGTATCTTCTAGCATTTTCTCGACTTGTTTACTAACACTGACTGATTGAGAAAAAGATAATTAGCATATCCAAATTTGAGCCTATACTAACCATGTCATGATTCTGTCTTGTTAATAAAAGGATGATAATCGTATCATGAATTCAACTAGGTTTAACTAACTTTACACTATCAAGGGGATATAGATTTGGATAAATCTAACTAGCCGTAAGCCACAGGAGGAGTGCTAATCGCATGCATTAGTAAAAAAGTGATGGGTAACCTAGTAACTGGCAAATATCTGTAAAGCATTCAAATCTCAATTAGTAATAGATTGAAGGTTCGAATTTTTTTCCCAAGCCATTTCGTTTTAACAAATTGAATAGTATCAGTTGTTGTGACATTTGTACTGTTTTTCAAAGCTGCTTGAGTGTATAAACTTATTCTTTGGCTTATATGTTACTACCAAGGAAAATTACTTCTATTTCATTTTAAGAAAATAAGAATTGAACTTATTTAAGTTGGAACTTAGTTTCATAATTATCTGTATAATTTAATTATAAACTATCGGTTAATTGATTATTACATACATTATTTATACTTCTTTTTTTTTCTCACGTTTTTAGCACCGGAAATTATTAACTATGATCCTATCACATTTGCTACAGATATGTGGTAAGTTAATCATACAACAAGTTATTAAGTGTATATATGATCTGTCTAATAAATATATGAACCGGGCTGTCTAGTTACTAAGGTCGTTAGTTATAGATAACCAGTAAACAAAGGGTCAATTGAACTGTACTTTAAACTTTTGTCGTCCTTAGACATTGTGACCTTATTGACATGGATCTTGTGCAACTAAATATATGTGTTACTAATGTATGGTCGTTGTACTATAACATTGTGATTGTTAATTCATTCGTAGTTGTTCATGCAACCATTCTTTCTGCCTACCATCATTAAGTCTCTGGGATATATTTCTGTTCCTAAAATTTAAAAATAGTTATGCAGAGTGATAATAGGACAATTTTAATATGTTAAAATGTTGAAATGACATTACCGATGTCAGTTGAAAAGCCATTGAAAAACAGAGAGTATTGAATAACTGTCTCGTCTCTCTTTTGAAATTTTCAACCGTGATCACTCACAACCACATTGGTTGGTTAGTAATCCAAGAAAGTTTATATTTTGCAATGTCCACTATATTACATCTATTGTTACATAAATCTATTGTTTCTAAATTTGTCACAATAAAATTGAAATTGACTTTCATCGATAAAATATTTGGCTTCATCTCTACATGATTGTGACTTCATCAGTCGATAATTCCCACTACAATTTTGAGAAATATAAATGAAATCCAGTTTGCAATGCATGATTAATAATAATTAAAATTCTTTTATGAACATTTCATTCAATTTTAAGGTATTTTATCTCCAAATGATAAAAGGTGTTTTGTATATTTTAATTTCATAAATGGTTCTATAATTGATATCAGTTCATAAAGGGAACTATTGTTGAATATGATAGTGGAATCTCTACAATTTGAGTTAACCTTCTATATCTTATATAGTTCTATATTTATCATTAATTGTCGATTACTTGCTGTAATTATATAGTCAAACTGATCTTTTTTAGTTTCACAGTCCATTCATCATATCACTATATTTTTCTACAATTGTGAAACATGAAATTATAGGGTATAAACTGCAAATATTTAATTATAGGTGTCTTCATAGTACTTTTTACATATAGTAAAGTCATCTAGTGAATAATTGGTAAGTTAGGTGAATGTGTTGATGAGACGATAAATCTTTGTTTACTGAGCCGGCCTAAGACATATGTTATGTATTCTCAACGACTACCACCTACTCGAAACGATAATACACTGAACAGTGTTGGAGTAAGTTGATAAAAACCAATATGTAAGGTCAGTCTGAAAAATCACTGACTATATGGGGGGGGGGTGAGGCTGGTTAGTTCCCAGTTCCTATGTTGTTTAGAAAACACTTATTTTAGTACTACTTTTCCTAGGCACATTTTTTTATATTGCGTGCAAGGCAGGCAAGACGGCTCATCATACTAGAGTAGATCTGACAGGGTTCGAACTTACACTTCAATAGTTGAGAGTCATGTGATAAAGATTATTGTCAAATAAATATTTTCTGTGTTTTCTCGCAATATAGAAATATTTGTATTTTTTATCATCCTGTTTTCATTTTTCCTATCACTACTACTATTATTGCAACGCTTGTCATAATACTGTCAAATTTAACATAATAATTATCATTATCTGTATAATCTACATGATTGACTCATAAAAGTGCCTTAAAATCTAGCCTATGTTTTAACATTCCGGTATTACACATGTAATTAATTGATTTCTAACTATGTAGCACTTGTATTCTAACCGCCTCAGTTAGTGAAAAATTCAAAACCCCATTTATTTGTTTATTTATTTAAAAACAAACATTGGTACAAAGAGGTACTAAATGTATATGCGCCACATAAATCATTGGATTTGTGTGAAGGATACAATACTATCCGGGTGCCCAAACCGCGAAGCAGATGGTTTTCATGAGAAGCCACTCCTCGAGTCTTTGACCTAGAAGTCTAATCTATAAGGAAGTGGAACAAAGTAAGGAGATTTCAGTTTCACAGTAGCCGGTGACGAACAATAGATTCACACCCCATTGGTTTTTACAGAATCCTAGATCCTATATGCACCATTAGTTTGGAATCAGAGTTTTCCAACCCTCCTTAGTGGATCCTCTCTATCCACCGACCTGGTTAAGGATTCGGACATTCGCTTTTGGCCGCAATAAGACAATGATTCGAATCCCCCGGCAATGTCTGTGCACTCATAGCCATGTGGGTTGATTTCGACAAAGATATCTGACTCTCATCGCCATCAATAGTACCGCATTTGGGGCAATATATCAATAAACCGTATCTACATAGCACTCTACTCTTTCATTTAAAGTTTTCAAACCTCTACTTTTATGTTGACAATCACCTGATTACTATACGTCTAATTATTCTTTTACACATGGATGTATATGTCATTACAGTTTTTTTCCATAACTGATATATATATATATATATATATATATATATATATATATATATTACCATGACAACAGAATTGATTTCCCTTAATTAATAATCCTTAATTTGTAACCAATTGGTGTTAAATCATTGAATATGATATTTTAAGCGAATATGTAAATCCTTATTTTTTCTTGGTATTCTGAGGTGTTTGTAAAACATAAAATCAATTCTTTTTTTCTTTTCTTTTTTCCACCGTATTGTGAATTAGTTATCATAATGAGTAAAATGTTTATATTTAATTTGATTTTGTAAACAAAATATAAATTTGTATATGTTTAGATTTGATTAATAATTTATAAAAAAAGAAAAGAAATATATGTAAATAATTTCTAAGTTAGTTTTATTTGTTTACTTGTAAAGTTGACTTTTAAAACCCTAAGCGTTTATTCACCTTTTATGTGTATTTTTTTTATTTACAATGTCGCTCTACTACGTGTGTGTGTGTGTGTGTAGATGAACTCAGTTGTTGAAAGCCGAATGTATTAAGTTGATATTTCTGTTGTATCATTAAAATGATGTTGTCCACATTATTTCATGTTACTATATTTTAACATTTTCAAAATTTTCCTCAATTTTTTGTTTGTTTTGATTTGATAAATGATAGTAGCCTCTAAATGCCCTGGTGCGGCCGTTTAGGTCAAAGTCTCGGAGTGTGGTCTCCTAAGAAAACCACCTGCTTCGGTTTGGGCACCTGGGAAGTATCCCAGCCTTCATACAAATCAAATGAGATTTGTGTGGCGCATGTATTTGGTACCTCATTGTACCAATATCTATGTGTTCAAATAATAATAATAAAATGATAGTTAATAAGAAATACATGTTATTGAAATGATTTCATTTCATAACCTTGTTAAGTATGCATAATTAAATGATGTTTCTAATATTAAAAAAACTGAGTTATATGTTTGCAGATTTCTAACATATTTTGGAATCGTAAACACAAAATAATAATGATTGATAAATTAAAGTGAAAACTTGGTTAAAATTTACAAATTAATTAAGTAGATAAATAAGTACTATTTCATACTGCTTATTTTTCGTTCCTTTTTACATTTCAACCCACTTGATTCATTGGAATAGATAGATTATGAATGGCAATGTAGTGAAGAATGTGAGTTTCTTTCTATTTGAGCCTCGTCAGCTGACTGTACATTCAGTCCAGTGTTGATATTCATTTTCGATCTTGAACATAGTATTTTTTTGCTTCAAATTTTCAACGCGTTATCCACTAAACTTAGCAACTAATTTGTTCATTTTGTATGCTATTTGTAATATTATTAGCAAGGGATTGAATTATCCCATTTATAATTAAATTTTTCACCAAATGGAGAAGGATTTGAACTTGTGACTTAGTTGTTAAAGTTTAAATGTTTTAACCATCAAACTTTGATTGAGTTCTGTATATCAGCAACCAATGAATTCAAACCCTTATCCAAATACTTGATTTAATCTTTTAGGCCTAAAAAAAGATTTTATTATTTCAAAGCATTGGTTTTTGTTATGTATATGCTTTGATAATAATTGTTTAATACCTTTTTAACAAGATGTTTGATTTACAAATTGTCTAGATTTATGTATTCTGCTTTTAGTTATATTGTTTGGGTGATAGTTCTAGTAATACTAATAATACCATCTATTACTTAAATAAATATAAATTTGAACAGGATATTAAACATACAACTTATTGTCCATTTTTGCATTGGCTGTCTAAATCTTCCCATCAGTGTTTAGAACTGCAATTAATTAGTCTCATATTAGCATATATTTATCCTGTGTGGATTGCCTCGATATCGTCTTCATCTTATAGGCGAAGCAGTACTTTCTCATAATGTTTTTTCCCCTGTACCTTTTCAGGTTTAATACTATTGATAGGTGATGACGATTAAACAAAATAATGCATACATTGAGTCATAACTTCAATAGAAACTTTGTTTCTTTCCCATTTCCTACTACTTCTCCCTAATTTCATATAAATATTTAATATTTATATTTTTAATTAGATTAACTAAACATTATGGGTGTGACTTGGAGCAAACAAGTTCAATGGTATTATTTAGGTATAATAAATAATATACTTGTGTCATCTATTCAATTTTTATCAATCTTAAGTAGATTGTCTAGATTTATTCTAGAAAAAAGAAAATGAACTGACTTTATAAGCGAGAGAGACAGAAAAAAAAAGGAAAATTGTACATAACTTTTTGGCATAAGATTGTGGTACTTATTCCCGTCTGTATGTGTATGTATGAATACTACTTTTTCTAAAGATATACAAATTCATTACCATTATTACTACTGTGTTTTTCTTTCTTGTAAATGAAACTAATCAACTATAAATAATACAACCTTGTAAAAAAGATAGAAAAGGGTGAAAAGTTTTAATCCATTCTTATCATCTATGTTATTATTATTTTGGCTACTACCTACTATACTACTACTACTACTATCAACAATATCTCCATTTTGGAAACATTTCTGTATAGTATATAAATTGTAATCTGTATCGTGTTACTTTCTTCTGTAATGGATCTCTCTTCACAATTTCTCCATTTATTTCCTTT